CTCTTCTCTTTTCTCAAAGCTGACCACACGCGCCTTTTGTTCGCACTGTGAGACGCCGTGAGAAACCTCCGTTTAAAAATATAAAGAAAACTTAAAAATAAACGTTTTCTTAAAAACTTGTAAGATCACGGGATAAATTTATGAGAAGTCGCAATTTAGACGACCTCAATTTCGATAAAAGATATGTTTCGTGGAAATATATTGTGCGCTTTAAATCGCGGATGTGATTTCAATTTCAATAAAATGTGTGAAAATATGTTGCCTGTTGGGAAACGTGAATAACCTTTAGTTTGCAAAATTAAGAGCCTTTGATTTAGGGAAAGGAAATCTGTAACTGATGTCTATATCTTAATTTATCAAGACTTTACCAACTTGTTGCTGTCCTGAAAAATTATATCTTTTAAGTTGTATTTTTTCTCATGACGCGCGATGTCCAGCAAATAAAATAATATATACGCCGGCTGTTACATTCGCATTAAAAAAAAATCCATGTCAGAAAGTATAGGAAGTATTTTTATTTTTAAAAGCGGATTAAGTTCGAAACGTCGACACGTGTAGGATACGAGGTCTGTTCAAAAAGTATCGCGAATTTTGAATTTCCGCGGGTTACGTATATTCGATTTTCGATTTTTTTATGGCGTTATGTTGGTACTCATGTCCCTCACTTATGCCGACAAGTTCGGCCATTTTGAATATTCAGTTTATCTTTGACAGCTGTTTTGCTTGGACGTGTTTTGGCTTGTCTTCGATTTTTGCCTATTCCAAAAAATGTATCAAAGAATCTGTATCAAATTTTGTGTGAAAAACAAAATTAAGTGCGCGGACGCATTCCGAATGTTGACTGTGGCATATGGTGAAACTACTTGGACCGAAGCAACGTTTATCGGTGGTACAAAATGTTCTCAGAGGGCCGAGAAGATGTGAACGACGAAGAGCGTGCCGGATGCAGTTTTCTTCGATTGCAGGGGCGTGGTACATCATGAGTTCTTGCCACAGGGTCAATAAGGAATATTACCTGTAAGTTATGCGCAATTTGCGCGAAGCAATCCGTCAGAAACGCCCGGATTTGTGGAAGAACAAAAATTGGCTTTTGCACCATGATAACGCTCCTGCTCACACATCGTTGCTTGTGCGCGAATTTTTGGCCAAAAACAACACACTAATGATGCCGCAGCCACCGTATTCCCCAGACCTGGCCCCCTGTGACTTTTTCTTGTTCCCGAAACTGAAGAGGCACATGAAAGGACGACGCTACGCTACGATTGAGGAGATAAAGACGGCATCGAAGGAGGAGCTGAACAAGATCACAAAAAATGATTTTTTGAAGTGCTTCGAGGATTGGAAAAAACGTTGGCACAAGTGTATAATATCTGATGGGGATTACTTTGAAGGAGACAAAATAGATATTCATGAAAAAATAAATAATTTTTGAAAAAACACAAAATTCGCGATACTTTTTAAACAGACCTCGTACGGTGACTGTATTATCGCGTTCATTTTGAACGAGTGTTCATCTAACCAGTTGATTCTTCGCGCTAATAAACAATAGCGAGAGCCGGTCTGTGTCGTTTTCGCATCTATGTGTCGTATTAGCATTTATATACGAATGACGCACGAAATTCAAGGTATACATACGTCAGCATGCGTGTACTGCAAAAGTGTTCATTGTTCAGAGGTTCCCAATCTGGGACTCGTGAACGATGGAGGCTAGATTTTAGAGAATCCCGATGACACTCACGGCAAAAAATGCACGTCCTAACTTCAGCAAACCTTCGACTGCAATTTAACATCGTCAAAATATATTCAACAAACTTGTTTTAGCAACTATATTTCGTTAGGAACTTATACGCGCTGAAAATTAATTCCGAGAAGAACGGTCAATGAATTTCAGAGAACGAAAGTGAAGAATCCCTGCTTTATTATCAGAGTCTCCGTATCACTGCGAGTTTGTATTTATTTATGACGCTGTTTGTTAGTGTACATTATGCAACTTCTATTCGCGGAAGTGTGCCAGAGGCTAACAAAATTCGTCGTGTGTTATTGTATGTTCTATCTGTTACAAAGCTGCGATTATCAAGAGTGTTATCATTAAATGTGTTATGTGAAAAACGCGACGCAGCGACCGGTAATGACTTTTTTTCTTACGGCATTTTGCGCAACGTTGACGCTGCCAGCATTTAAATTCTCTAATGCGTAATTGCGCGATGAATTTCCCACTCGAGTCAAAGTGGATCCTTATTCTTCTAACACAAGTAACATGAGCGAAAATTTATTACAAGCGGAGGATAAGTTCCGACTGCTATATATCGGTGTGATGAAAATGTTGTAACGTTGAATGACGATTGATCTGGTAAGAATCTATTTGTTTCCACAGCTATATTAAATAAAATTGTAAAGATTATCATGCGGTCTATTTGTGCATATCTTATAATCAACGAGATAAATCTGACGTGAGCAATTCTACCTTTCAAGGCTGCGACGCGAGGTAATGTAAGATGGAATCGAACAGGCCTCGAGCGCTCTTCCATGAAGTTATAAACCGGACCAGCGCCGCTAATAAAGGCTAACGTAGCCGGAGAGCGTATTTCTTTCGCACCGGTCGCGGCGATATACAGGGTGTATCAAAAGTCCGGAGAATTTCATATAATCGTTGAAATGATCGTCGGCAAAAATCAGTTGATTTTTGAAAAATTGATTTTTTTTAATTTAAAATTGACTGATCTTTAAAAAAACCCGATTTCTCCAAATCGATCGATTTGTTAAAAATTTTTTAATTTTTCAAAAATCAATTAAATGGACTTCACGTTAAAGAGAGAAACATTCATATTCAAGTTGGCGATCGCCAGCGACGTAAAACGAGCGACGCTGTCCGATCTTGTGTAATCTGCATTAACGGTATGTGAATACATGTCATCATAGACCTGTTTATGCGCTAAAACTTTAAGATAAGCGCTCAAGTATCGAAAGATAATGAACGTAAGCAGAACGAGACCTTATGCTGCGCATAACAAAATATGCGCGTCGAAATCGGACGAGTCGAGTGTGCAAGTTTCCCAGACATTATCTTGCTGATCGCACGAAGAAAAATCCAATGTACATGAGCATTCTCAACTTGCCCGCGTTTTTCTTTCGTTCACGTCGTGACGCCTCACATGTGCGCCTCAGCCGCGATTTCGAAGGACGATCTTGAAAAAAAATGTCGATCACGCGGCAGGATTTCTCTTTCGCTGAATCGACATCTGAGTTTACAATTCCTTTCGAAATATATTGACAAACAACGATATTTGCGTGTGTCAGTATGAAAAGCAAAAGATGTGCTCCGAGAGCGTTTTGTGGAAACAAAAGCCCGCCGATAAATTCGCTAATTCCGACATCAACCGGTTCTTCATGACAACAATATCTCATAAAAAAAGCTGTGCTAATTCCGTGTGTTCATTGCGTGCCTCCTATCTAACGAAACCTACTTCGCGGCTCGAGTGATAACCAAGTTCTCTATTGAAACGTGCTTCAGTTTATAATTCAGTTTAAATAAATTAAGATTATACGCGCGAGGAAATTATTCGTATATCTACGTATATCGCATAATGTAGATTACAAATAGATAACGTATAGATAATAATGTCGCCATAATCGGACGAATAATTAAACTTAATTTCTTCCACGCTGTGTTAAATATATTTTTTCGCAGACACTGCTGGTGTACCCAAGTCGAAATGTTTAATTCTACGTTGAGATGAAAATGGAGTCTTCAAGTGGAGAAAATAGAAATAAGTTCCCACTTGTAGTCCTTTGAACATTTAATATAGAACTAAATTAGACTTAAACTAGGACTAAAATTGGATGAAATTTCATCCAATTCGTGGCGATACGCGTCTCGTACGAAAAGCAACAAGCGAGAGGCCTCTTCACATGCGCGACGAATTCATCGGCCGGTTCTGTTTATTATCTTGACCTCGATCGCGCGACGACGATCGTACTGTCGAAATTGTCGTACGAAATATTCTTCTCTTCGGTCCTATAATCACGAGCCTATCTTGGGAAGAAAGTAAACCGAACTGATTTCAGGATAACATAATTGCACAACTCCCTGTAACTCCGAGCATTGAATTACGACGGGACTATTCATTCAGTATCATATGCGACGTTAATTCTCATCAACGTGCATTCATCCGGCGATTCATTCCTTGGTCGCGCGCGCCATTAGAATCAAATATCGCACGATATTCAACTCGTCATTCGACGAAGACGCAGTTCGAATGAAAAATCATCGTCATCACGTCGAAAGTCTGATCGCGATAACGCGCGAACACGTAAATAAAATATACACGCGACACGAAGCCTACGCATAAAGAACACTAGGCCATTCTTAATCCGAATAACTGCGAAATGTTGATGACTGATCCTCAACAATTTATTTGATATCGAGCCGGAAAAACAAAACGCGATTGGCTCTATTCTAAAAGGCAAATTTGTTTTAATCAAAGAAATTTTATTCACTCCAAAAAAATCTTCTTCTCTGCATAGACAGATGATCGAGTGATTTATTAGCTACTAGACAAACCGAAGATGATTCTTATTGGCCATCCATTTCTTGTTGACTGAATATCCCTTAATATAAAATTCTCGTTCTTAAATTTCTTCCTCCCACAGTTATCGAAATTTTAATTCGGCCTATTCATGATCTGAGTGAAATTTTCGAGTGAAAATTTCGAGAGTAAACTTCGGTTTACTTATTCAAATTAACCAAATTTAACTTTTCGTCGATAAAGTTTACAATATTCTTGAAAATTCTTCTCGACCCGTCACCAAATTAGAAGAAAAAAAAAAAAATGCCGCGATGTATCGTCTTTGAAAACGTATCCATTTCGCGGTAATATATATTATCGGCCAAATGCGTGTCGCAGCGTCAAGGCGATCTCGTGTGGGGGCGAGCGCGATTTCAGACAGCGACGCGAGTCACGGTACAAATTCCATTGCACCTGCCTTTTCCTCGCGGAGTTTTCACGCGGAAACTCGCCAAAAGAATGCGCGGCAACGCTCCAAGATGTGATACGGCAATAATAACACTCTTCTATTTTTACCGTCCGTAAGTACCAATGGCAGTGACCGGAGCCCGATGATCTTTCCTCCAAATGCTGATCTGTCGATCCAACCTTGACCTAGTGTAAGGTGACATCAAGTCCTCCGATCTCCCTTCGTTATTCGGAGCCGGGCGTTATTCGAGTAAATTATCATTTGTCTCGTTACTACCTCGTATGGAAATCCCGAACCCACGCAACGAAAACTCAATCGATCCTCCCGCGCATTCTCGGAACGAATTTCGAGGACTTCCTCCGCGGACGTGTCGAGTAATCGCGACAAATTCGACGCAAAAGGAAATGGAAATTCGCGGGCCGAAGGTGAAATAAGATGTCGCTGTTGCTTGCATAATCGCCCGCATAATCGAGAACGTGAATGGAAATTTTCGGAATATACAAAAAGGAAGTCGTGTCTGTTCTTACACACAGAAAAATACATACTGCATCGAAGTAAATGTTATTTGTTTCAAGTATTTCATAAGTTTATACAAGGTGTTTGAGGCGTGTCAAATACTTATAATTTAGGTCAATATGAATAAAAAAATCCTCTTTTGCGGATAACGCAAAAATTTTTAAGTTATTAATTAAAGAAGCCTCTATACATGGTCATTTTCAATAATTAATTACTCGAAATTTTGCGTGTTGTTTGGTATAGGATATATTTTATTTACATTAACTGTGACGATTGATACGCTTTGTGTCCGCAAATAAATTTATTCGAAACATATTCTGAATCCTAGTAAATTCAGTACCTCAATCAAGAATATTAAACTTCGGTTTACTTATTCAAATTAACCAAATTTAACTTTTCGTCGATAAAGTTTACAATATTCTTGAAAATAAAGTAAATTCTTCTTTTTAATACGCGTGATAATGAGCTTTTTTCAAATCGATAATGAATATATTTTAAGACTATTATCAAGAAAAAATGTTGAAGACAACTATTACATAGAAGAAGGAAAATAAACCAAGTAATCGCTTTTCTTAGCAGTAAAATGACGCTTTTATCTGTGTACAACCGAGTTTTCCGTCCGTTCTTTCGAGAAAATTCAGTTCACACTAATGGTCTTTTTTTCGGTGCAGGAACTCCCAATCGATCGATCGATGCCTCATCATAGATCGTATCGGGGTGAGTCGCGACGCTTCTTCGAACGCTACTCCATGGACTCTAACGAAGTCCGCCGCGAAGTTCCTTCAGACACGTCTGTGATGTTTTCAGTGATGACGTGCGGAACGACGATGCGGAGCGTACAAACCACCGCTAGACAAAACACGCAACATTCTCATGTAACGGAAGCGGGAAAGCATAGGTGATTGACCATACGAACTTCCTTCTGACGGGATCAGAGTCTCTCTCATCGCCGATCGCTTGATCCTTCAACGCTCCAGGAGTTCCGTCGAATTACGTTTCCGAGACTTTCCTTCACGAGAAATACAGGATCGACGATGGATCGAATTAGTCTCTCTCTCCCCAAATTTCGCTCTGCCGATTCGGCTCTTCGTATATTTACACAACAAAAGTAACGATGTCACACTCGTGCATGAAGAAGCGAACGACACTGCGTGAATCGATCGTGTGTGTGTGTGTGTGTGTATTCCAGCGACATAGCGGAAAGAGAAACGCGCAAATTGCGCATAAAACGATTACATCATATCTGCTGTCGTTCTTTGTCGAGCACGTGAGGCGATGAAGGTCACCAGTCTCCGGTAAATATTGTAACGCTATGTTTTTATCGTTAAACATTAGAAGAGTTCCGCGCCTTATGGGTGAGTCTTCTTAAAGAAGCGTTGTTTGCGCAAAGATAACAAATTTATATCGAAAGTGCCACTTCTCTCGTCGGTATCTCTCGTCGGTATCTCGATGAAATAAACAACCGATATGATTAATTGCAATGCATAATTGTGTGCAGTATATTTCTCGATGATAACGTAATACCGACAATATCAGTCTAGTGAAAAATAACTTGTTAATATATCAAATTGATACGAATTAATGTCGAAAAGTATGACAAATGCATTTTCCAACCGGTAGCTTCACACTAGATAGTGTAAAGTCGCTGCTGAAACGAATTTCAGTTCTTGGCACAGACGTCGCTCAGCTATCGAAAAGGATATAATAGGATAATAAGCTTTAATATTATGTAAACATCGTGAGAGCTATCCCGCGTAAGAGAACGTACGCGACGTCATATCGCCGCGAGGGGCAATATCATGATCGCTCCATCCGGTCGGGACTGTATCAACGTCACTCCTCGATGTCATTATCTATCGAGGACTTTTTGCCTATGATTCTTTCTTATCACATTATACGTCACAAACAATCTCGACGAATACATGCGCTTGTAACTTTCGACGGTGTAAACACCGCCCGAAACATATAAACAATTTCGTGGTAAAGAAAGGCTATTTTCGTCACGCACTGTTGTGTAAATTACACCGGCTTAATCGGCGTAAAACGGACGGACGCGCGTGCCGTCGAAAGACACAAGCTCTCGCACGCTCTCGTCGAGAAACGGGGCGACGGACGGGGAGATCGAGTACTCACCGAAGTCGAAGAACTGCTTGATCGAGAGCGGCGAAGGGTTGAACTGTGAGTAAAAGTCCAGCATCTTGGCGATACTGCCGAGACAGTTCCGTGTGAGCTTCATCTCGCACCGAGTCACACATTAAAGTCCCGTCGATCGGAGACGTACGTAACACGGGGCGAGGACACGAACGACGAACCGCTGATGCACGTCGAACGGTGAGATTCACGTCAACGAGTGCCACCGAGTGCTGGGAACTCCGCCGAGCTCGCTGCGGTATATGCGAAGTCGCGCATGCGCGCTCTTCGCTGCCACGTTCGGCGGCCATATAATTACGATTTCGCGAGATTGACCAGTTCGAATTGCACTTTTTATCTTTAGAACGAGTGTGTGATTTAACGTCGAAAGTTCCAGCGCAGCACTAGCTCAGTCCTGCGAAGGCTGATTCGTTTTTCAGCAAGCGAGAAGTGATCATCATTACAGCGTTATTTACAATGATATTTTGTAACGTTCTCAAACAATACTTCCGCGCTATAATATTTCGAAATAGCACGTCAAGCGACGGTAATATAATATCAATGTTATAATGTTCAACGTAACATAATAATAGACACATTACATTATGTTGTTTACCAAGCAACGGTTTTGAAAGATTGATAAAATATGAGGTCAAAACGAAATCCACATAAGATCGATTTAATGTTTCCTGCTTACTGGGATGTCACTTGTGCGAAAATGAGCGCGTTGTTACAATAAACGAAATTGAACCGGCGTGAAAAAGATCGGTCGATTCGTATTCCGGAAGTAGATGTCGCAACGCCACCTGCTGCCACTCGCGAAGCACAGGGTTGACAATTAACCTCCTCGTGCATCGCACGCTTCCCGAGCCGCGCTTTTCCTCACGTCCCCAATGCGAGCTCGCTTCGAGCCGTCGACGGAGCGCACCAGGTCGCCCGTCCGGCACGTTGCTTTAGGTTAGAGATTCTCGCGTCTTCTGCTGGACAGGCTTGCAGCGCCACTAGCAAGAATCCGCGCGATCTCGAGCTCGCGTTTCCCCAGTGGATCCGCCGACCCGGGCCTCGAGAAATATTATCGACGCCGCCTCGCACGATTTTCCCGCGTGTTTCCGGCCCGGGAAAGGTGATCCTCGAGCGCACGGAGCACTCGTGTTGCTCGTTTGATTCACGTCGCTTCCGGTCGAGACAAGCCCATGTGGACGGCAGCAGTGGTAGCCCCGATCAGTCCGTGTGCCGAGAGTGCTGTCGTTGGGTCGTCGTGTTTCACTGCTTTCCCCGCCGAGTTCCTACTCAACGTGGTATAAGCGAGGACGTCACCATGGCGGATCTGGACGATTTCTTCGCGAAGAAGGACCGGAAGAAGGCCAAAGGCAAGAAGTTCACGACCACCGACGAGGTCGCGAAGAAGCTCGAGGAGACGGGAAAGCGGCTGGAGAAGCCCAAGCTCAAGGAGAAACCGGCGAATCCCGAGGGCGAGGAGTCCCAGCAGACGGAGGTAAAAGGGCGACGTCGTGCTCGAGAACTCCGTCTTCCCCGGAGGAGTTCTCCACGCACGCATACCGCTGCCATGTTTGTTCCCCGCGAACGTCATATGGTCCGCTCGCGTGGTGCTGCGGACGACGTACCGATCAACAGGCTCGCCCGGACGAGCCTTATATAATCGACGGCAGCTTTCTCGTCGTCAATGCGCCGTAATATCATGTGCACGATAAATTCACTAATTGCAGTCGCCTCGGGAATTAGGTCACTTTATAATGTCATAATATGTTGTAACAATTGTGAGTCGCACGAAGAGTTCTTTCTTACTGAACTGACCGTCTTGCCTGTATTATCATTTTACACGTTAGTTCATCGAAAAGACCTTAAATCATCAGCAGGAGGCTGCGAGAATAGGTCTGCTCTTTTGCGCTGAACTAGCGTAAGCTTATAGAAGGAGGAAGAGAAGCTAGCTAGTGCAGCGGAAAAAGCATCGAGTTCTTCGCTTGTGAAGCGAGCTAAGACTTGGTGGAAGAAAGAGAAGAACAAATTCGTTACGATATCGCTGTGTCGAAGGCATCTTTTATTTTCAGGATGAGGACGAGTGGAAGGAGTTCGAGGAGGAGAAGAAGGACTATAGCGGTCTGAAGATCGGCCACTTAACAGTAAACGACAGCATCGATGCGGAATCGGACGATGAGCGGGGCACCGGTGAGAACAACTCCGACGGTGAATCCGGCGAGAGAGGCACCAAGCACACAGGACCATGGAAGAAGCCAGATTTACCGCCGGAAGTACCAGAGGTGGCCACACCACCGGCGCCTCCCCCAGCCGCCGCCACTGCCGCCGCCACCGCCGCCACCACCACCACCACTACCACCACTGGGAGCAGCTACATAGCACCACACTTGCGGAACATAATAGCGTTCATAAACAGTAACCCTAACTACAACATATCTGGGCCGCGAGGAAGGAACACCGCGCCGGACATTCACAGCGAGGAGTACTTCCCCACTCTGAATGCCAAGCCCCAGCCACAGAACAACGGCAGCGGCCCATGGGGCAGCAGACGGTAAGACGCGTTTCTTCGATCAAAGTATGATTGGAAACGCCACACCGAATATTATTTGATCGACCAATCGGAAAGGATTCCTGTATTTAAGGCTCCGGAGTAGTTGTTTCACGACATCAGAAGCGAGAAAACGCAAGATTTTCAAATAAAAAGATGTAAAATGACATTTCTGGTCGCACACTTGTAAAATTGGACTTTGCTCGAACAATCAATAGGTAAGATTGACAAAATTACGAGGAAAGATTAATTTTTATACGACTACTTATTGCTTGTTCGATTAAAACAAAAAGTCCAATTTTACAAGTGTGCGACCACAAATGTCATTTTACATCTTTTCATTTGAAAATCTTGACGTACTTCTTCTGACGTCATTAAGCAAAGACGGAGCCTTCAGATGCATTGTAGCCAATGAAACGATAGATATAGTATCTGAAGATGGACGATCTTAAATATAAGATCTGACTAGAAATATCAGATTTCTTTGCCATGATTGGCTAATTAAATGCTACTCAAAAGCAGCCAATATATTCGTGGCAATTTGAGAACGTCCATATTTTTCTTACGCGTCGCTCGAATTGCATTAATTCCAAGTAATTTCGCTTTGATTGCAGGAAGCGCGATGAAGGAGCATTCGAGGAGGTTCGCAATCGGGGCGGCAGCAGATCGTACAACGTGCAAGACTCGCAGGCCCAAGCGCCGAAGCTCTCGTTGGGCAACAAGTACAGCGCCTTGTCGCAAGATCAGAGCTGAAAACACCTATCACGATCGAATCAAACGACAAACAATCAATATCACATCGTCGCCCCTCTCTGTTTCGTGGCCCAGCCGCGCCGGGAAAATATATTTTCTAGAATAGAGTCCAACGTGTATCATAGTATGTACGTGTACGCCCCGGTTTTGTAAGATTCACGGGGAGAACGCTATTCTTGCAGACGAAAGAACGACGGGAATAAAATTAATCGCGGTTGTGCCCGATCGAGATCACCGTATCTTTGCACGCGCAACAGAGGACTTTGTAAATTAAACTCGAGGGGGGAAAAAAGAAGAAACAAACTGAGAATATCGCGCGCAAGCTTATTTTCATACCGTGTAGACGACGCGTAGTCGATGGTAAAAGTCTCAACTTTTGTATTTCATTTTTTAAATCAGCAAATAGTGTGTAGTGTGAACGCGTTGCTTCCAGAAGCGCCACGGCAGCGGGACTCACGGCGCTCGAAACACTCGGACGATCATCACACACATTCGGGCGACGTTCGCGAGCAATGCGCGATTGTTACGCGTATATGTAGTTCAAAATGGTATATACATGTATATATATCGTTCGTTTGAAAAAAGAAAAAGAAGAAAAAAATATCAAGTATTCCGCACTTTCTTTCGTACGGTGCTATATTCTAATTTTAGCGTGCATACTTACTGCCACAATTAATTGCCTTCTCGTTGAGTGTTATCGGTGTAGATAAGGAAGATAGACGCGTCCGAACAATGACTTAACTTCGAGATCGGCACGACAACGTCGCGATTCACCGAAATTCACGATTCACGTGGTAATTGATCTCGGTGGCTCCACGATTACCCGCGGGACGAAATGTGTCTCGGAAGCACTCGTGAGAGACGCTACTTACACTCTCTTTTCCTCTTTTGCTCTCCTCTCACCGGGGAGTGTCGCTACGCTCAAAAACGGCTACATGCGTCAACGAACGGAACTTATAGGTGCATTAACACATACACACGTATAGCGTCTTATTTCTACCGCGTTACTCTTACCAGCGTGACAGATTCTCGAGAAGGTCTGTCATTCGGAAGTTCTTTGGATTTTTTCGATTTGATATTCCTTAGCGAAAATACAGAATTTTCGAATGATTGAGAAATAAGGGTTTCTCCCAAACTAAATCTCGGGAGTGCTGCTACTATGTTTTTGGCTTAATTTTAAGTGATTTGCTTCGGTGAAAAAATTTCTTAATTTGATATCACAATTTCGCTTAGAAAGAATCATTTCTAAGTGGTCCAAAGAATTGTATCAATGCGGTAGGAAATTCCATATATATATGTGTGTGTGTCTGCATACAAAGGCTCTCGAAGTGTACAATCGAGATAAAATACGAGGTCAAATAAAAAATAATTAAAAGGCAAGTAAGAATCGATCGCTGATGTTAGAATGTTACAATGTTTAGGGAAAAAAAGAAACAATGTTTAATATATAACGAGGTCCCAACTGTTTGAACCTTCTTCAATGCTGAATAATAAAATTTCAAAATTCAAAATATATACTATTATAACTCTCACAAATTATGATAGCGTTATAGCAGCATATAATTTTAATTGTAAAATTCTTACTTAACGTTGAAGATGGTGCAAATAGTCGGGATCGAAACGTCCGTTATATATTAAATGTGATTAAATATAAATATTATCTCCTCGTTAAATATTATATCGCTCTGACATCAGCGACAGGTTCTCATTTGCTTTTTAACTTTTTCCTGCATTTTGATTGCATATATATGTACGCGCGCATGTGTGTACATACGTATAATTATTAATCGAATTACGGGGGGCTGGGCTTTGGAACGGTGCAGAAGTAAAAATTAGACAAGTTGACAATGTAACAGGAACGAGCACGAACGAGAGACTAATTGTTAGTCACACGGGCACGAGGCACGCCTTAGGACGATATAGCTAAATGCGAAACGCGATAAGCGAGAGCGTCGCGCGGTGGTGTTGTACACAAGTAGGAGGGAGAAAGACATATGCGCATACACTCGTGTTAAAATATATGTATATATATATATATTATAAAAAAAATATATATATATATATACATATATATTATAAAAAAAAAAGAAACCAAGATCTTACGTAAAGCCTCTGTTAACGATCGATATGATTCTTTTTTCGTTGTTGATACGAGAATTTCTTTTCGTCGGAAGGCAGCACGGCAGATAAATATCCAAGTCCGTCTTCGAGACGGCCTTCTCCCGTTGTCGGCAGACTCTTCCCCGACGAGGACAAGGAGACAGTTTTTTTTTCCCCCCCTGAACACGAAGAGGCGGGGAGAGGGATGCCGTACAGAAAACGGATAGAGAATAAGCGTACTTGTATAGCGAGTGATAAAATGTGATTATTTATAAATAAATTTCCTAGGATAATTCTCTTTCTCTCTCTCTTTCTCTCTTTTTTTTTCTCTCTTTCTCTCTCTCTCTTTCTCTCTCTCTCGTATGCGCAAACCTTGCGAGCATTTCTAATTTGCTGTAAACCGAAAGCAATCGTGGGCCGATTCTCAAAAGTCGGAAGAGAGCGCAGCGCGCGAGAAACGATCAAACGCGTCTTCTCTCGCGAGCTCTTCGGCGGAGGGAAGCGGTTCTCTCGACATGCGAGATATACTACAGTGTTGGGAGAAATGTGTAGCTTAAGTATGCGGAAACGCAACACCGGTGCCTCTCGAGGACGATTTCGAGGTGATTTTGGTCGCCCGTGGCGATGCGAACTAGCCTGCCTTTGTTACAGAATATAGTTGAAGATACAACGATGACTTTATCACTATTATTGAATGAGAGCGAGCGATATGGAATGGTGGTAGGAAGTGAGATCGCGCAAAGATGTGGGGTGGCGTATATTTAATAAAAGTCAATTACGATATACACAGGTTGTCCCGAGTAAAATAAATAATACACCTCAGTAATATAAATGTAGGTGTTCAAGCGGCGTCAAGTCCTCCGTCCATACAGCACAAAAGCTAACAATCAATGTTGTAACGTTGCTATATGGTATCCGAACTTTCCGAATATCACCCGGGCAGCCGCGTATTTTTAAATTAACCGACCATTTTGATACCCAGATTGTACTCTGGCTGCGTTCCGATATGCACTTCCAGTACTTTCTCTTCTTTAATACCGGCAGTGAATTTCGGAACGCAGTCTCTGACTATTAAAAATAATTAATTAAAAAAAGAATATAAATGCATAGAGACAATATTTGATAAAATCAATTGCGACGAGATGCAATGTCGAATTGAACTCTACGTAGAATCGCCAAAAGATTATATCGTCATTGCATCATTATCATGCAACAATATAAAAGTACAGTCTTACAAACTGACGATCCTGCGCAGACCGAAGCCTTGTTTATCGGTTCTTCAGCTGGCATCTCGTCGGGTCTGCTCTTTATTAAGGGACCAAATCGTTATTGTCGAAATAAAAAATCACTAGTGTTCCGGAATGGCTGCATCGGATCACTCACTCGGAGCGAGACAAAGTGTCAATTCGAGGTATTCAAAGGACGTCGTTAACGCTTGACGAATCTTCATTACTGCAACGAGATAAAAGAAGCCGCGAGATGATCTTACTGTACTTCCTTTTTGTGATCATAGGACGGATCGCGAACATACTTCTCGCAATACTTCAGCCCGTGTTTCCCGTTGTTGCTGTAAGACGCGTACATGGAACCTTCCAGCAGTGTGGGATTGTATCTCGGCAAGAAATATATCCATGCCTTCGTCAGCTCACCGACCTGAAAAGTCGAAAAGATACGACGCGAAGGATAAGATATCACTCTCAGGCGATCCCCGAATTACCTCTTCGAACGTTTTCCCGGGCCTAAGCCTAGCTTCCGGAGTTAACAAGACTTCTTCCTCAGTGCGTTCGTAAAAGGTGGGGTGCTCCTCCAGCTCGTCCAGTCTTCTCAGCATTGCCGAGTCCACGTCATATATTTCACCCTGCACATGCTGTCCCAGCAAACACAGATATTATCGTAATATGACGAAATATATAGGATAATTCTTACAACCTTGAATATAAAAATAAAAATATCTTTACGACTAGAGATGAAAATGGGAAGGTAGAGAATGACGATGATGTCGAAATAATAAGAAAATGATCACAATAACGTTTTAATGACATCTTATTGACATTAGAAACGTCATTAAGGTGTTATTAAGACGTCATTTGACATCACACTTGGGGAGTTCTATTATCATTTTAACGTCATTTTGATGTCACATTTTTGTCCTACCTAGAGTGCCCGAGGTAATGAATGTTAATTTATTAATTTATTGCATTACACTTATCTATAATAAAGTTATTATTATATATCAATGCAATTTCTCTTAGATAAATTTCAAAAGATATTCAAGGTGGTAATAATTATTGTCTCATCCTGTATATCTTAATATATATATATATGTACAGCTGATTTATAACGGCTCTTCATTGCGGGTAAGCACCGATTATCGTCAACTCACATTGCCGACGTTGGATTTCTTCAACAGGAACGGGATGTTGTACTTGGTGGCGATCACCAGAGGATACGAGATCGTCGTCTTGCCGATGCCCAGAAATTTCGCATAGCCATTCGTGACATCCTTTATAATCCCGTGATTGGGTTCTCCCCGTTTCAGCGTGCCGTACACGAACACCCGGTGCAGCGGATTCTTGAACAGGTTCTCGTACATTTCGAAAATCGCGCCTGGCTCTCATACGTGACTTCCGGCCGGTGGCATCGGTAACTTTGTTATCTAAACCGCGTTACGGTGTGCAGTTACGTCACAAATCGATATTGATCGATCTATTTGGAATGAAACTTGAAATTAAGGAGTAAGGGAAGAAAATTTCGCGACGACGCGTCGGCAGAGCGACGCGAACTTCCTCCACGTACACGCAACGTCACACGATGTTCGCGCTGCGGATGCGGAGAAAAAAATAAAAGAAACGAATAACTGGACGGACACACTGCGCAAATGTCACTTATGGACTGACGTGGATAATGGAAGGTTACGTGGATAGAGGCCGGTAACGTCGTTTAGCGCGGTTTCCTTCAAATCGACGAACTTATCGTGAGAAGAACGTAAGTTCGGATCTGTAAATGGGCCTTTTACTCTAAGCACTAAATTCTAACGTTATTTCCAGCAAAAAGCAGCTCGGTGCTACCAAACGCTCGCAATTCCTAAGATTTAAGTATCGCGATGTTTTGGAACACGCCTTTTTAGTCTCAGAAATTACGTTACATTTTGTTGCTTAGAGCAGAAAGCTAAAGATTTGCTCCATACGTTAAGCCTGAAACACGAATATTATAGGCTGATGGACAACAGACATTGCTCTCGAACATCTGAACTCAATTTCCGATTAATTTTAAGACTCTGCCAACTGTCTTCATCAATGTTCATATTGTTGTTTGTGTTCCATAACACAGACATCATTATTTAATTGTAATTAGCGCTGATGCGCTAGCGCTGAAGAAGGATTGAAACTTTCACATATTTCTTATGCTCTCTGCATCTATTTGAACATTAAAGTCATTACATCGATTTTTTTATTTGCTTCTTTCTTTGTGTGATTTTAAATTGCTAGAGCCTGTTGTGGATTCAGACTAAAAAGACTAAAATCAGTATTCAGAATCGGATCTCATATTTAAGATCGTCTTAAGTTCATCTTGAAGATTATCGTTCTAAATCACTCCGAAAAAAAGTGTCCACACTATATTGGAAGCAAGTATATACTCGCTCACAAAAGGGTTCCTCATTTCAAAACAGCGGAGTACTTACAGTACTCGGGTGATGAATATCCGGTTCGAGGAATTTGAGAAATATCCGGATAATAAATGAAAGAATAAATGACGACTCCATTAGTGCTATCCTATTTCCTAAGCGTAATAATGTTGAGAATTTCTGATCATTATTTTGGAATATTTGTGCATCATGATTGCTGCTTGGGAGCATCGTTGTCAATTCACCGAATAATCTCAACGGTCATGATGCACGCATATTATACACGAATATTCGCATTGGAAAATGAAATCGCGTATCGTTAGCTGCGTACCCAAAATTAACATCATCTGTCGCAGATTCTTTTTTGAGAGAATGAAATTTACGGAAGCACTATCCTCCTGGAACGGAGATAGAAATTCTACTCATCGTTTTACGAGTGTAATAATAAGGTATCGAGGTAAGATCAACGAACAAGAGATATTTTACGAGGTACTCTATGTACTAACGGGCCAGAGCTAAACGGAACTTAGCGCCGTGTAGCGAAGCGTCGACACGAGTCATAAANCGAGTCATAAATTCATAAAGCCCTTTGCCCCCCCCCCCCCCCCCCCCGTAGATGAAACGTAACTCGACGCTTTGGGACAACATAGGGGTGGCTAGCCCCTACGACCACATCGCCATCGGGAAAATATACAAAAGGAAAAAGTAGGCAGCGGCCGGCATAACGCGATAACGACTAGTCCAGGGGCCGGGGATTAAAATCTGTAATTACAGCGGGGCATGACGTCGCTGCAAACGCCCGTACAAAGATCGATGACACATCGCGTTGTTACGACTGAGGACAGTTGCGTTCGATCGATCGCGCACGTGGCGAGAATGATCAATCGGTAAGAGAAGAGGTGGAAAAAGACGAAATTAGAATTATAATTTCCCAGCCTCTGCTGGGAGAAAGAGGGGGAGGTTTCGTTGTACGAAGCAACTCTCATGGTCGCTACGCTTGAGAAACAAACGGTTGGATCGATAAAATTGGGGAAGACAGGAAATCTTCTTTTGGCTTAACTAATCCCAGGTAGAACAGAAAATCACGATGACATCGAAATGATGAGGAAGTGATTCTAATAAATTCGATCACTTTCCCATTTTGATATTATTTTTGTGATTTTCTGTTTTACAGTCTGTCTAATAAGAAGTCCGACTTTCGCTAAAGAACGACATACGAGTATTTAATGGTGAGTATCGAAGTTTAGGAATAGACCGAATCGGATAAGTTTCGAGACAATTGTCGTTAGTTTTTTATGTCGAAGGAAGCGCACGGAGGTAACTAGAACGATAAAACAGCTCGTTTGAGAAACAAAAATTTAACGATAACTGTCTCAAAACTTGTATTGATCCGATTATCTCAGTGGTCCAATTCGCTTCGATCTACCCTACGGAAAATTTGAATGCCAAAAAGATAATCAAAATTTATCAGAGAACATTAATCAGTGGAAAAAAGTGTTTTCAGAACCTTTAAAAGGACAACAACCCAAAACATTGGAGTCGTCGTTGCTCTCAATGGAAGGAAGAAAATAACGTCGAAACACTAGGTCTGGTCATCAGACGCAAGTCCTATAGAAAACGTCCGAGTAATAACGGTGGAAAAGAAGTGTACACAGATTCGTTCAATGTGGCGATCTTGATCTCGAGAGGATGCTGTAAAATTGATGGAAAGTATGCTTGGAAGGCAATATTTGACAACGGCAGTGATTGGACAATGTATTAATATAAAATTGTTGTATTGTGTAGTACGTATGTAATTTTTTTATATCTTTTTATCATTTTGTTATAATAAATAGTTTATAAATCGGTCACGTTCTTATTAGACAGACCGAGGTGCTGTACTGGAACTTTATTTCTTTTCCATTCCACGCTGGGTTACATACTTGTTTAACGGCCAAAAGTTAAAAAGAAAACAAACCTGTAGTTGCCGACACAAAATCACAATCATTGTAATCGACAACTCATCGCAGCAACCATTCAATCGATTAAACGTCTGACGAATTTCCTTCGCCCATGCGAGAAATCCTATCATTTTTTTTCCCAGCATACGGCACGTGCGAAGACTTTCAGAAGAAGGGGAAGGTGAGAAGAGATTCTTCACGGATGCAAGATTCAAGAAAAATGTCGAGCGGATCACTCTGGCCGATCCTTGAAATGATATCTCGACCGTCGCCTGCACACGATGGTTGACGAGTTCGCGTTTCGTTACAGCGCCGGTACGACCCACGCCGCGCGTTCCTCAGTCTCGCTTCACGCGTCCGGAGAGCTGCATGTGAAGTGGTGGTCGTGCGCGTTCCTCTCCCGCGGACGTTCGAGGTGTGCATATTCACTTCGAATTTCGACTGAACATTAAGACACCGGGACGGAATGGCGATCTCGTTTCTCTGAAAAGTATCCAGAGCGAGGTAAGCGACGAGTTATCAACTTCCTCGACTGATTTATTCGCGAGACCTTCGGTTTTATTTGAAGTAAATCGAGTCTTCTTGGAAAACGCGTAACTCTTTGTTGTCCGAATCGCGCCCGAACGTCTATCAAAATATATTTCATCGGCGTGTGTACCAAAGGCCATTGTTGTTCGAAAAACTTTCTAGAATGTAATAGAATAGAATGTTTAATAACGTGCGCTGAAATATCCTGGCGAAGAATCAGGTAAATCTTTGGAAAAGATTCGAAGATATTCTGCAGGTTATTCGTGAATTGAGTATTAGTCATGTAGCCGTACTTGAAGAGACTGACGCATTCTCTCAATTTCTTGGAGTGGAATCGAAACGAGTGAAAAGTATTTTCACTCGAAGCGATAATATTGACACACGAAATCGTGAATGTTTCACTTAGAGTAGATTCTGACTCCGTAGAAGTGAATGTTTCTAGCGATTAGAATGAATTCGTTCCCGTGATAATGGAACACATCACTCTTCAGTTTCGAGTGAAAATATTCATTCGACTATTCAGAGTAGCAAATTCACTCTGTATGTGTGAAAAATCATTTGAATTTTCGGCTGTCACTTTAGTTTTCGAATGAGATTTCACTTCGAGAGATTTAGAGAATATCTGCATAACAATGAAAAAATATCAACACACTACCTCTTATCGGGATATAATCGGATTACGCTGCGAGAAAATATCATTTTAAGATATATATTATCCTGAAATTTTCGCTCTTTGGTTATACATCTTGAACTGAAATTTTCTTAGGAACTATAAAAAAAAACGCTTAATCGCTAAAGCGCACTTGATTCGGGAATTAACGATATATGTCAAAGGTGAAGGTAATTTGCGTTGTGAAAATTTTTCTACTAGAGGTACCGAAAATTACATTGACGGAAGACGAATTCTACTCGGCTGATTTTATTCGCAAAGAACGCGTCGCGAAATTTCTGCGACGTCTTCAAATAAAAAGACTCGATCTGTCTCTGCGATCACTTTAACACTGGAAGTATCGAGCGGCCATTTTTGTTTCTATTTTTTTAGATCAATGCACTATTTCTTGTGTAAAAATAGTCTGAAATTTTATGACTTTTTATCAATCATTTCCTTGATCAAATGTCAAAAATTTCCCATTTTTTACGCAAGAAATAGAATATTAATTTAAAAAATAGATACGATCAGAAATGACCGCTTCTATGCAGAAAAGAAATCGATCAAGAATGATTGATCTCCGTCACGGCTCGACTGATTTCCGTCATGAGATCTTCTCAGCGATTTGTTTCCCTTCAGAGAAGGAATCCCACGACGGCAGTGCGCCCGTCTCACGTAAATCGTCGCGACCTCTTCCTCCTCTCGTTCTCGCATCCTTCGCCAATTGCATCGATTTACGAGTGTTTACATCACGATGCGATCGGGGAGCGCCGTAATCGCCCGGTACTATGAATTATGCACTCCCTCTCTCAAATTTCTTCCCGGGCCCTCACGGAAACGCGTCTCGACGTGCTCTCGCGGTCGTTAATATTAATTTCGACCGACGCACCCACTAAATTGCTACAAATTACGGTGTAACGACACGCCCGCTGATTAAAGCGTTACTTCGGGGCTCTTATTCTCCAGAATTTCCGCCAGAATCTCATACTTACAGCTCTTCGAAAAATAGTTATTATTATATATCTTGCGAACGTAACATGCAAAATTAATTAACGACCATTAATCGGGGCGCTACAGTTCGCTCGGTGGAGTCACGCTCCTCGAAAGCCGCCGGTTACGCCCGTTTTGGGCCACCTCACGAGAGACGAATAATAAGCAGCGAAAATGAATTCGAATTGCGGAGCGGCTCCGCAATTTGATTTTTCTCGCCGGTCAGTGAAATGAGACGGATGTTTCGTGTGACACTGCAATGGCGCGCTCTGTTTACTCGCGTGCAACTCGAATGGGAAAAGTGTCAATCGAGGTAATCGTGGCACTGTGATCATACGAGTTTTGTTCGAACAGAATTCCTAATTACAAGAATCGAATTTGTCTCGTAAGAAGCAGGAATTTCGTTTCCTTGAACCAAAACGATCGAAGAAAAAAATTCCGGTTTCCATGCGAGAAGTATAAAATTAATATCCGATAGTGCATTATATTTCACGCTTGATTAAATCCGCAAATTTTGTGGAGATTTCCTCAGTCTCGGATTAACCGTCGGCAAAGCGCGGGCGATTTTTCGGGATCAAATCGCGTTTCCAGATGTTGCCGGAGAGCCCGCAGCCGGTCGGTGTTACAACCGCGTTCACTTGTAAATTCACCTTATTACTCCTTTTTTCCACGCGGAAGGGGTCTGCTTTTTTTCGTCGTGCCCGTGAAAGGAATGCGGGCGACTCGTGTCTGGGGAACAACTCGATGAACAAAGGGGGGTTCCCCGCACCTTCTTTTCTGCTGGGACGCTCAAGTGGGTCAAAGCTGGATCTCGTATTAGGCAGCAGGAATTATTGTCTCGGGGATGTCCGTAAATGGTGCTTAGAATGCTAGAATGCGTGTATAATGGCTCGCGATCGATTGTTTTCCGCTCTCGACAACTTTCGAACGTCTCAGTTTACGAAGAAACGAACGAATTCTTCGTGTCCAACTTGAAATTTTCATCAGACAGACATACATCGCGACTATAGAATCAATTTATAGAAGAAGTCGAAATTTCAATTCTATATTGAGTCTGCGTTAAGTCTTCTAAGGTTTTCCCTCTTTAATACTACAAATGATTTCCATTTTCTCCGCTAAATATAGGAAACAAAACTGTCCGAAATCTCTTAACACAGGCCACACCCTTTATTTCTCCGAGGAAACAGTATCCGCGCAATTATGTCCTCTCGAGCGACTCGCGGCTTATCGCGAATTTTTCACACTCTCGCGCAATCAAGTTGAACGGAAGTGATGTGTAGTAACCCACAAGCGGTCAGACCGCCGTTTTACATTCCGTGGGTGTCTTCCATTGCCTCTCTCTCTCTCCTTTCTCTCCTCCTGCCCCTCTGTCTATTTCTTCCTGGTCGTCTCTCGGCTGATTCGAGACCAGCATAGCCAGTCGCTGTGTCATCGAGGCCCGATACATCATAAATACAAATTGGCTGAACGCGCGTGTGTGCGCATAAATGAAGCCACGAACGGTCGGCAATGTTCGCTAAAAATGAGAAACCCTACCGTGAGTAAATATGAAGGAAAATATAACGGTGCTAATTTATCAATCAATTGTCCCAATATTCAAATGTAATTTTTAATTAAATATTTCTCTTATCGAATATCGGTCTAAACTTGCCTACTACTACTTCACGTTACTTTGTGCGCGACTGAAGCACAAATCGGGGACCCGACCTTGCCATCGGCGATTAGTTGGCGCAAAAATACGCGTGAACTAACGCGGGCGGCTTCCTGAGGATCGAGATAAGCTCGTTAACCATGAGCGTCGGAAAGCACCGACGATAAACTTGACGAATCGTTTTCGTCCAATCTAAACAGCGCACGCTGGTAGCTGAAGTAGCCTATCTTCGTGGGATGCTTTGCACCCCACACTGAGGAAAGAAAAGAATCAACGAAATTTTCTTTAAAACGAACGACATTTTTTCAAACACATTTAATTCGTTAAACAAATTATAATAAAGTTGCTGTAACGAATTGACATAAATTTTTAAAAGACGTCTTAAAAAGTATAGGACATCTTTTGGATGTCTTTGAGATGTCCTTTTGGAAATTTCTGCTACCTGGATTGTTCAGTGGATGCGATATTTTTTTTTAATGAAGTTGACGTCCGATTTTGTCGATTCAAGCACTTTTTTTCTCTCACTGCACAGTGATCTGTAACAAAGCGCGTTTGGAACATTTCATTTGGGATTAGCGCCTTTATTCGTTTGTTTCGTGAACAATTCACTTCTTCAGTAACTGTCGCGCAAGAATTTTCTTTTATATAGTCTGCATTTGGAGTATTTCACGACAAATCGACATTTGGAATATTTCCTGACAAATCGGTCGACGCAGCTTAGGACCGGTCGATCGGGCCGGGAAGAGATCAGGTGGAATTGCCGATAAATCACCGCGGATAAAATCGACCGTAAACGAGATGCCGAGAGGAGCTAGGAAGAGGAGGAGGAGACTCTCTCTCTCTCTCTCTCTCCTCACAGACTGGATCTGGAGAACGAGGGCGAAGGGGAAGACGAAAACAAGAGATGCAAGGGAGCACCTGTCCAACAGCTGCCTCGCATATGGCGCGTACACACGCTCGTGAGATTATGCAAGGAAGGGTAGGTGTCTTGTGCTTTTAAACACACTACACAGAGCTCTCGAAATTACAGAGACAATTCGTCAATTCTTCCGTCGGTGGAGTTCTCGAAATTTTTCATTCCACATTAGTAGTCTTCAAGTGGAGAAAACAGAAATAAATTCCCACTTGTCGCATCAAAGGAATACAATAAGCGCTGCTTCCCGGTAAACAAGAAATCATTAACGCAATGTTGTTACAACGATATTTTCTAACATGTTACGTTTTCAAATATGAAAACAAAATTCTTCATGTTGTGTCATTGTTAACAATATTTGACTTAAATGTTAAAAGTAACATTCTATAATTTTAATATTTCGGAATATTACATTATCAAATAACAGTTTAAAAACATTGATAAGATATTACGTCAAAATATTGATAAAATTGACATATGTTTCAAAAGATTCGCTTAATAATGTTTCTTGCTTACTGAGTTTAATGCTACAAAGAGAATTTAGTCCTTCGGAGTTTAAATTTTAGTTCTACATTAAGTTTTCAAAGATCTCTATTGTACTCCTTTGATGCTACAAATGGAAAGTTATCCTCACATTCCCTACCTTAACGCAAATTTCCTTTGTAGCATCAAAGGAGTACTATTAATGGGAAGTTATTTTATTTAATGCCGGACCAAAATTTCGGTGCTCTTCCTTCTTTTCCCCTTTCATTCAGAAGGACGACTCTTCGCGACAGGAACGATTTCTCCTTACGAGTGAAAAATGAATCTTCGTTATTTGAAATCTTCGTTATTTAAAAAGATTTGTGCCAAATAATCGTTGAATACCTAATAGGTGGTTAAAGGCACTCAGACGGATTTAACCTACGATCGTCAGCATCTTATTAAAAAAAACAAAGATCTTGTCCGTCTCTTCTGTGAGAGATCGTCGAGTATCTTCGACCCGAACACTTGGGTGGCATTAGAACTTCTCATTTGGTTCACGCGTCTTCGCGGAATGCAATATACCGGTCCCTCCTCTCGCCAGCCGCTGCGCGGACGCTCCGACCATTAGTCATCCACCAATGGGTCCTCTGTCCGGTAAGTTATGATCAAAAGGTCGCAAGTCGACTGAGAGAGCGTTAACAACCCGACTTGTAAATCCGAATTCGGCGTGTACGCTCGGCTTGCACGTCGCACCGCGAGCCGTTGATGTTCGTATATGAGGTTCGTGTGAGTCACTCAGATAATTATCCGTTCACTCAGGAAACAAAAGATTCAAATACAAATATTAAAGGAGAAAATAATAGGGGAAAAATAACGTTTCGCGAATGAAGACACTGTTCAATTCTCACGGATATGTACGCATTAATTTCAGAGTGGAAACTACTCGTTTTGATGCAGCGAAAACGGAAATTCCAGACACCACCGTGATCAAAGTAGAAATAAATTATTTAATTAGAATTAAAACTGTATTTTGTTACCTTAGCTCTCACTGTAAATTTGTCAAGTTAAAATTTTAACAAATGAAAAATTTAACATGGGGCCAAAATTGCGTTCCCGAATTTGCGCACGAAGAAACAAATAACGATTAGATCCTGAAAGAATTTTTTAAGAGGAATTAACACATCTTACTAATGAACATCGACTGTCCATTCGCGTTACTTATGTGATCAAAGCTTTTTCCTCTCTCCATGTAAAAAGTGCCAGAAGTCCGCGTTTCAGTCTCTCGGTTATGGCACGTTATGAGTATTAATTCATGACGTGGTGGAGAAAAGGGCATCCGCGTGAGGTCCGCAACGTGATTACGAGAAGGCGTGGCGGCGACGTAACAATGAAGTCGGCAATTAAAATGAAAAGAACGCGGCTCAGTCGGCGTCTGCCCACGCGTCCGACGCCTTATCTCCGGTACGTTCGAACACCATAGATCGTCAATTTGAGCATGGCTCATTAATACTCGATTATGCGCGAAGGAACAGAGAGAACGGAAAATCGAGCGGAAGCGATAAAAGCGGCCGATTAATTGTTGTTAATTGAACGTTTAAAATATATCGTTCGTAACAAAGTATCGCTAAACTATACTTTCAATGGTATCTGCGCTTTCCTATATTTTAATCCCTCGGAGACATCATATTTCATCGTTTTTGGAATCTTTCTTGCAAACGTACTTAGGTCCGGTTGCATTATTTTGGCTTTAAGCGAAACTTAAATATATGTCCGTCTTTATTTATTTAGGAAGACATAAACCAAAATAATATTGGCGCAAGCAGACTTTAGCCCTACAGAGCCGAATTTTGCAACTAAGAGAGTATTCGTCATTTTTCTTTCTTTCTTGGAAAAACTAAGTCATACAATTCTGAAATTTTGAATATTTATCTATGTTTTAATGATGTAAAGTAATTTCTACGCATTACAGCACCTTTCGTGGTGTGCTTATAGACTCGAAGAAATCGTGAGGAGACAGTTCTTTCTGCGAATCTTTTCAGCGAATGTAGATACAGAGTCGGTTTTCACGTTTACAATAAATAAAAAACCCAGCTGTTCTTCCCGTCGAATTACCGTGATCGTGGAGCGCGAAGGAGTGTTGTCAATGTCGTCATTCAGATTCATTTATGTTCCCGGGGGGGTTTGAGACAGCGCAAATATAAACAACGATTAGGGGGTGATCCTAAGTAAACACGTTGCCAAAGTGGTCGCGAGAAGCGCACGGCACCAAGCGACGGAAATAAAGCTGCGAACGGAGTGCATAAGCGATAATACGCGGGAAAAAGTGCTGTTGTGGCAATAAAATTGGCCAACAACGCCGAGTAAATCTTATTGATTCAACATCATGAAAAATGAATAATTGAATTACCGAAGCAATGTCATTATTATAAAATTATAATATAGTTTTATATATAACCACGTAATATTACTCGAACGATAGCACTTCTATTTTCAGTGTGGTAACATTTCTTTTCATCCCTATTTATTTGCAACAAATTTCTCTCTCTCATGGAACACGTAGAGTAATAATTACGGCTTTCCGATACACGACTCATAGTGAACGGAATCGACGCATAAGAAAATATCCTTAAGAGTTCCTTAAGAAACGTCTTAAAGAACTCGGAAAAATATCTGAAAGTTGTCTTATGCGTCGACATTCTGCTCACTGAGCTGGGAAGAAATGTGAGTTGAAACCGGGCTATAAATATGAATCTCCCAGGAATGATCGCGAAAGTTTCGCAGTCCGTCACGAGGAGACGAGACAATGAGCGCGCGCTCGTCGGAGCTTCCACGATGTCGAACGGATTGAACGAGCGAGCGCAAGATCCCGCGCGCCCTTTCACGATTTCCGTGGAATCAAAATAAGAAGTCGGAACTGTTAGCCACGCTCGTAACCCGAGATGTGTAAGCTATGTTTCTTAATGCCCGCGCGAGGAGAGGAGGAATAACACGTTTCTTCGAAATACATGTGAAAGGCATTCATTTCACCGTGGCCGCCTTTATCGAACCCAACACGTCGAGACGATTAATCTTGGAAAGCGCCGAACTTTGTCGCGCCGCAATAGAGATTTCGCATCGAAGCGGGCAATTCACACTGAAAGCGCCGCGATCTTTTTCAGACACGACCGAGCGATCTGGAGAGAATGACATAGGACGAACGGCAGTATGTGTTATGTGATAGTCACCGGACGCAGCCTGCTGTGGACGCTCTTGTCTCTGACGGCGTTGATGGCCGTTTTATCGGGCCTCATCACTCCAAGATGGCTCGTCGGGCCACCAACGTTTAAAGACACGAGTAAGCGTGCGAAATAAGTATTCCTTCGGCCAACTTCGTTGATATTCCCGCCGACCGGCATCCTCGTCCGTCGGCTGTCTCGCGCTTCCCCAAGTGTCTAAAAGACGTCTTTACGTTTCAGGACGTATTCTTAATGTTCTCTGGGTTCTCCCTCTTCCTTTTACCTGGTACGTAGAGTCTTAAATAGAGAAGCGCAATGAAGAAAGTAAATTTTGACTGGCTGCCTGAATCACCCATTTTCTTTGTCTATATGTAATGTATCATAATAAGTTATAATATTTTTGTTATATTCTCTTACTATATCTGACTCGATAAAATTTCTTCTTTTTTCATGCGCTTATAACGGGGATTGTAACGAATAGCTATAAATTATAGGGGGAAGAATATTCCTTGTTGAAAAAAAAACCAGGTGGGGAAAAGTCCATACAGGAAATCCCACGATTGCCTTTGGGCAAAAACCCAAGTTCCAGGTAACGATCCATGTAAATTCTTATATGAGCTTTCACACACCATGTGGATTCCTATATGGATTTTCAATATCACATATATGGATTCACATAAATTCCGTGGGAATCCACTTAGAAATTTTCAGTAAGGTTCTTATTTACTTAAATTAATTATTGAATTAATCTCTTGCAATCCGACTTTTCTTCCTTACTCTCTTCCTTCCTCGTTCGCTCCAAGTATCACCATAGAAAAAAAATGGCGGATTTTCGATATAAATTCAATTGCGCTTCTCTATTTATATTTAGGACCCTAGTCATGCGCACACGGAAAGAACAATTCCGTTGGTGTAATCGAGAATAAATTAAAATTAATTGATTAATTTTTATTTTAATTAAAACTTTTAATTGCTCTCGGTTGTTACAACCGAGTTTTAATACAGCTGAAGAGAAAAACGTTCTTATGAATGTTTTCAGTCGCGGTAATAGAAATATTTTTTGTCGCCAAGTTTCTATTTGATCCCCACCCAGACAGCACAAATTTCTAAGACATCTTAAAGATGTCTAAAAAACTACAAGACGTCATTTAAGTATCCTTAAAATATATTTTAGAAATTTGTATAGTCTGGGTTCAGTTGCTGAGTTTCTTTTTAAGTGCAATGTACGTATGTCTCTCGCTTCATCACTTCACTCCGAAATTTCAGGAAATGGCACGGAACTCTACACACCCACTGTCGGGATCTTCAATCGCTGCACAAGATTGTACGGCAGGTCGCATTGCGCGAACTTCAACGTGGACGGCCTGGCGACGGACTCGAATGTTTTCCCAGGATGTTGGAAGGCTTCCTTGTTCTTCTTGTCCTTAGGTTTGGCGGTGATGTCGATTACTGTGATAGCCGCTCTGCTGGGATGCTGTGTGCAGAGTATCGGCCGCAAGAGCATCTTCAATTTGGCGGGTGTGGCGCAAGCCGTAGCTGGTAATATTGCTTCACGAGGGGAGAACGAAAGCGCGTACGATCGTTAATGATCCAATTTTCGTTGGGACTCCTTGAGGAACGCAAAGTGATCTCGAAGACGGTCGTGATACGATCGACGCAGAAAAGAATTACCAATTTATTTAGACCACCCGAATTGAAATTTCGGCCCTCTGTTAAATTCTGCAGAGTAGAAGCTAAGATAGCCAAATAAATTAAATTTCAATTCTAATAATAAATAGTAACGAAAATATAATTATCTCTTATATAATTTTATAATTAATGCAATATAATTTCTTCTTGCTTTGACTCCAATAACGCCTTAAATTTCCGTTTTTATTATTTTTTTCATTATTTTAGCGTCAAAATACATTCCCAGAGATGGTACAGTTAGTATCTTATGTAGTATCATTATAAAACGTCACGTGCGTTTCAAGAACATATATGAAATTAACATGTGCTACCCGAATTGTTAAGATAACATTAAAATGAAATCTATAGAGTTAAAGATTCAAAAAAGAAAGTGTCAATATCGTCACAGCAGATTTTTATCAGTCTAAGGCTGCCTAAAAATAAACACAAACTGTTCTGTCTTAAGTGCGTAAAGCTTCAAAATTTCGACTCAAGCACCCTGTTACGTTCAATAAATGATTTATAAATTTATTTAATATATATTTATATAACACATATAAATATATATAATATATAAATTTAAAATAATTTATTGCACTATAAATTGTAGTAATATTCGGGGAAAATATGCGTGTCGCATATAGCGTCGCATTTTTGTCTTCACAGGAATATTGTATCTCTTCGGGATGATCCTGTATCCTGCGGGTTGGGGCGCCGAGAGGGTGCAGAGGATCTGTGGTCCTGAGGCCGACGCTTTCTATCTCGCCAACTGCAGTCTTGGTATTCAGACAAATAAAAATTTCGATATTGAAAATTAAAAATTAAGAAAGGCTTCAGACAGCCGCGCGGATTTTTTGATCGGCTTTTATAGTCCTGGACTAGGATAAATTTTTGTATTTTTATTTTCTTTTTTAGTCGAAGCGGTTGCACTAGTTTAAGAAATGTATGCACACTGAAGCAGAATTTCGCATATACACTTCATATGCTTCAATGTACATTTCTTAAATTAATGCAACCAATTGAGCTAAAATCTCTTCTCTTTCAGGTTGGGCCTTTTACAGCGCGACGATCGGCGTCGTGCTCACCTTCCTCTGCGCGGTTTTCAGCGGACAGGCGGAGAAGTCGACCGCCAGCGACAAGATTCAGGACAAAATGAATGAAGGGAAGACCCTGATATGCTTAGCCTGAGCAAACCAGCGAAGGGGTCGACCTCGCTAACCGATATGTCGGTAAGGATCGCTCACAAGAAGGACCGATGGGAAACCGGAAATGTTCAACTCATTGTGTTCGAACTAAAATTGTTGTCGACCAAATTATACTCGCGTTCTCGAATACAAAGTATCTATGATCGAGCGTAATTAATCGCGAAGAGGACCTGCGGTATTCGTCGAATCCTGTATTTTATATTCTGTCTCTCTTTGTGTCGCAAAGAAATATAAATGAATCACCGTCACCACAAACATTTGTCTTCTATCTGCTCGATACAAGTGAATCGTGTCGAGAGAGATGCAGCGTTCCCTCCTCCCACACTGCCGGTTTCCGTTGTCCCAGTTTGTGTGTGCGATACATCAGTGAGTCTGATAAATTGATAAATAATGGAATTTATTCGTTTTATTCTTATTTATCAACAGATTTCATGTGAAATTCGATCAAACATATAATTTAAATAGATACATAAAATTGTTGGCTGTGTCAGTCGATTATATACACATGTATAAATAATGAAGGCACCAAGGGAGTCAACAATCAATAAATTACACAGATGAATTTTTCTTTTTACAAAAAACTTTCGACAAAAGAAACCGAGAGATAATGACATTGATAACGCGAACGCGAGTACGAGAGTCGTGGTTACGGCGACCACGCGTGCTCGTGAATTACTTTACTTAGGTATGATAGTGTTATTTGGTTGATGACTTGCCGTTAGAACCGCTAACCGTTAATCGGATGCTGAGGAGTGTAAGCTACGATCGTACAACTACGCGAAAAGAGATTGTGGACATTTTTCCTTTTTTTCTTTTTCGTTTCTCATCACGAGGAATGTCAGATTCATATGGATGTAACATTGAGCGACGCGCGTTGAGCGAGCCACCACGGTCAAGTAGATCCGCTGAAGGCGACTGTGATAGCATCCAACGTTCTCTCTCTTCTACGAACATCTTCGAATATGTGCGACGATTCATCAAACACGATCATCTTACGAGTGAAAAATTGTGCTCGCTGTGATGAGTCTCGCTCGCGCGTAACGTGGTGAAGTCGTCCTCCAGAGAGCGTTAATCGATGATTGACAATGTCGTCGCGTAACGAGAATAATTTATACGGCCACGTTTCGCGCGAGAAAGATATACAATTAACTGTGTATATAATTAGAATTAGAATAAAATAATAATAAAATGTTTATCGCAGTGACTGTAATGATAATAAGAATAATAGGAATCTTTTTACTCTCGTCTGCCGTTTACGGCATATCTCTCTGAACAGGGAAACTTCGTCGATATCCGAATAGAAAAAGCTATTAGGCGAACACTCGGCCCAATATGAAGATCGGCCTCGTGCGATTGCGTGAATATTCGTTAATTCTATTTACATACGTAAGCTACACGATAAATCGCGACGGAAAGCCCGCCTCAATCGTCTGGATTCTCAACCTAGACACCTCCATGAATTTCCGGAGGACGACTGACTTCCGATCGGTAAGAATACTCTTCGCGCGCGACACATCAGACTCTGCGATCGTTCTCGCACTGGTTATTCACTTTCTCCAGGGAGCTTATACAAGTTACTCGACGTGTATCTGACGGTCAACGTAGAAAAAAAGGCGCACTGCGCGGCAAGTATCTGTCTCGCGCTTCGTTACAAAATATCCCTATGAACGAGAGGGACGCGACGCGTCGCATTATTGCTAGGATATTCGGGACGTTAATGCGCGACGCGTTGAAACGAGGGATCTTCGCCTCCGACTTGCGTCTCCTTCCTTGCCGTTTCGGTAACCTCGACGCAACTTTCCGTTCCTCGCCTGATTCGTGCGGAGGATGAGACATCGAATAATAATGATAATAATAATAATAATAATAATAATAATAATAATAATAATAATAATAATAATAATAATAATAGTAGTAGTAGTAGTAGTAGCGGTAGTAATAGCAATAGTAGTAGTATAATAATAAGCAGCTTTGATTTTCGCAGAAGCTGATCGTATAGCGACGTGTGATCATCCTTTTCCTTCCTTATCTCTCTGTTTTCACGCACGCACGTCATCCTGCGCTTGATCCCTACGTCACAGTCTACACGCGCTATTATATTTCTCTCACGAGGCCTCTACACAGTGCCGATCGATCGTGTCTCATCGTTCGTCCCGAGTTCTCCGACTCAGCGCGCCGTTGTCCGTCGTTACGTCTCGGGGGCGAAGATCTCGACGGAACTGTCGGCGTTCTGCTTAGAGCGCATCGCTCGCCTCCGCTCCTCGATCAGCTGTCGTCGCGCCTGCTCCCTCACCTCCCGCGCCTTCCTGTTCGCTTCGCTGTTCGCAGTCGGCTTCGCTTTGTGGATCGCGATGACTCGGCGCTTGCCGTTCTGCGAGGCCGGCGCGGTCTTCTTATCCGGTACGATCTGTGAAATCGCACGACATTAAACGGCATGATCGGCGAGCGTTTTGTGAATATTGTTTTTAATTTTTGTTGCATAATTATATACCTCTTCCCATTATCTCTATTAGATCAGCTGACGCATTAATACAGCATTAATAAAAAGTAATACTTTCGTATTTATTATGTATATACGTTTACCTCAATTGTATTTCAAATTAACATTTATTATTTAGATAATGAAATAAATATATAAGGAGGGAGCATAATTTTGCTTGACACGTACTAAATTTATGAATGGCTTCCTTGACACTAAAAATATGATACTGCTGATCTCTTCAAAGCTCCATTGACCGTAAAATTTTTCTCTTATCAAGGAACATGATAAACTTCATTTGTTTTTGCTCGTTTTAAACAATCAAAGACGTACCTCTTGCCACTGCGATCTCCGCAGCTTCTCTATCTGGTCGAAGAGGTCGTTCACTTGCACCACCTGCAGCATCACCATGTCCCAGAAGCCGGCCAGGTCCTCGTTCGTCGTCGGGAATTCTTCATCCGGTACCTGATTCTGCAATTGTATTATCACAAACGTTAACCGAGACGCGAGATCAGAGTACGACGAGCGGAAGGTAACCACTTACAATGTTCTTCTGGCACAGTCCCTCGAATTGCTGCATCTTCTGAGAAGCCAACAGTCTAGCTTTGCCCGCGGCTGATCTCAGTTTGCCAGCCGCCTCTTCGGGAAGCGCAATGGTGTCGCCGCTGGCTAATTCGGCCTCGGCAGATGCAGCCAACGAGAGCAGCCTGTCCGTTTCCTGCTTCAATAACTGACAACACACCGGAGGAATGTGTCCTTTATTGTGGGCGAGGGAATGATTCACGCGTGTTCTTTGATCCGAACTACCTTCATGAAGTAATGTCCATCCTTCTCCTCGACTACTTTTTCCGCTTCCTGTTTCGCAATGTTCGTCGAGCTGGGTTCCAACACGGGTAGCACCACCTTCGCCGCGGCCGGCTGCTGGTCGGGTATGCTCGCGGTGTCGCTCTCGACGATCACCGGGATTCTCCTCACCACACTGTTCTGCGTGGGGTTCTTCGGATCGACCTTCCGGGTCACCGGTATTACCCTAAAAGAGCCCGATTATCGTCGAAAGAGAAGAAAGAAAGACGTCTTTCACGAACGCTCACCTCTGTAAAGGCTTGATGATCTGTTCCGTACCGTCGGTAGGCTTTCTGGTGCTGACAACAGGAAGCTGCGCCCGGAATTCCGGGCGCAGGTGCCGCAGCACCGGCAGGTTCTTCAACGACTCGTCTGTGTTCGCATTGTCGGTCGAAATGTTGTTATTATTACTGGATTTATTGGAACTACTGTCGCTGGTGGCGTTCAGCTTAGCGGTGCTGCGTTTGAAGAAGAAACCCTGCGCTAAAGCACCTGGTCCGTACAGCCGCTCCACCCGCTGCTGGATAAAGGACTTCTCGCTGCTGGACGAGATGTTCAACGCTTGGCTCTCGACTTCAGTCGTCAAACCGTTTAGAATATTAGCGTCGCTAAACGAGACTGCAAGAAAGAAATTAGGAAAGAGATTAGGAGCGAAATTAGAAGCAAGTTGGGATTTTATGACGTCCTCCTTACTGATACCCTGCTGCTTGGGAGAGGAGAAACCCGCCGGAAAGGACTGCTGGCCGCAGGACATCATCGGCGACATTCCGGGGCTTTGCTTGCTAATGGAAGTGCTGCTCCTGATAGGACTGAGGTCGGGAAATGTTGTGTGCAACGACACCCCTTTGTCGACTTCCGAATAGTCCTGGCATATCGTGATCGAGCTTCTGCTCTCTACGTACGTCTCGACCTTGCACTCCTCCTTCATGCCGTTCGCGAATCCGTTTTGCCGGTCCATCGCTAACGGCGATATCGAGTGGCTCTTAGGCGGATGACACTGCGACGGAACACTGAGATTCTCGTTGGATCTGCAATTTTTAGATATTCGCTCAGTGCGTTCTTTTTTTTGTGATGTCAGCTCTTAAGTTATCAGTTAGTATCCGTAAACCCGAATAAATAATCGAGATAGTAGAGCAGTACTTGTAACCCTGGATAACCAAGTAATTGGGTAGTATTTTGTAAGCCCGTTCGAGGGATACACAAATAGTAGTATCCGTGAGTTTGGATGGGGAGCTGCTGGATATATAAATAATATCTATGAATACCTGGTATCCGGGTAGTACCTGCTAATTTAGATACCTATACGAATAGTATCAACGAATTTGGATCCGAGTAGCCGGTAGACGATATAGAAATACTCGGTTGACAATATTGGTAAAAACTACCAGTGTAGCATAAGTCTCACTTGAAACCTGCAGGACTAGTGTCCCTCGTGATCAACCTGGCGCCGGGGCTGCTGTCCCTCGAGCGGAATCCTTCCCTCAGCTTGCTGTCGTACCTGGTGATACCCGAATAACCGCTGATACTACACGCCAGACCCAGGTAACTAGGCTTCTTCGCCGTCAGCTGTTCGGGACCATTGCTGACGTTCAGCTTCTCATCCGGGCTGAGATGCGACTTCTGCAGCGTCTCGCTGCTGCCGTTCGCCAAGTTCTCCGGTTCACCGTTGCACGACAAGTTCAGGCTGTGCAGAGTCTTCTCGGACACCGAGTCCACAGTGTTCTCTGAAAGGAGAATTGCGGTCTGACGCGTTTACTTCGTCAAGTTCCTCCAACTTCGTTATTTCAATCGACGCATTTCAAGATTTCACAGATCGCACGGCTCAGCACACACACTTTGGGCACCGTTTCGTCGCAGCAATAATTCATCGATTCAACACGTCCCCATCAACTCCTGCGAGCGAGCCAACTGTGCTCTTCGTCGGAGAGACATTCACCTTCGACGAAGAGCACCAACGCACGCGTTAAACTATTCACATCGTTGACGCGACCTTATTTTCCGCACTGACTGGTCCAACGCGAAGAAGGGAGAAGTCCGGAAAATCGACTCGGTGGATTCTGCGATCGACTGGCTAGTGGACCCTCTCGCGAGGAATGACGATGAAGAGAAGAGGCGTCGCACTCGGGCTAAATCCGATCGGCATCTCGAGCAGGCAAAAAGCGCGAGGAGGAGGTAATGGCGGAGAGACCCCACCGGGGCCGACCTTGGGGCCGTGGATCGTCGGAAATTCGCTCGGCTGAAGATCACGGAGGAGCCGAGATTAAGAAGAAGCTTCTCTCCGAAGAGCTGGTTGGTCTTCAATTTCGAGACGGTCTTAGAATAATTGGGAGAATTGACTCGAGAGATAATCCCACGTTCCTTCCTCACCGCGTCTACAATCTTTTTCTGCTGAACGATCTCCGCGCTTGAGAGACGCGTCTAATCGTTCCCTCGCGAAGAAAATTCCCCGCCAGGAACGACCCTTCCGGCCGGAACGTTATTATCGCACCGAGGTTCTCTCTTGTCCAAATTATTCTACGACGAGTTTAGCGGAATCGCAATTTTCCTCGTGGGTATCCAGAGTCGAAATTCTAGTTCTGCATTAAGTCTATTTAATTATACATCAAGTCTTCCAAGTCCTCCTTTGATGCTACAAATGGGAATTTACTTTCACTTGGAGACTTAATGTAGAATTAGTGTAAACTTGCTGTAGGACCAAAATTTCAATTCGGAATGTATCGTGCTCAAGGGCTTACAATTTATCGAGCATGAGTTCTTCGTAATAATCGCACGTTCGTGTGAACGATTTTTTGGGGAAAAATTTGGTACATTAAAACTGGCAATTATCAAAGCGTTAGTATTCTTAAACAAGCGCTATCTTGGCTTTTGGCAAATTTACGAATTTGACAATTACAAGATTTTTCTCAAAATTAATCCTGAGAGTAACACCTGAGGTAACATCCGCGACGCATCGTAGGTCTATCACGAAAAAAATGGTAAAAATCGTGGTTTTTGTGTCTTCTTACGTCTAAAGTTTATTACCAATTGTTATTTATGGCTTTTGTAGATTAATTGGAAATTTCATTGGATCAGCCTGATAGATAATAGCAATGGTTACATAGATTTCTTTTTGTGAATAATACACGGGGAAAAATAAGTTTGCTGTTGTAGCGAAATCATCGTTGCGACAGCGAAAACATTTATTTGGCATAACAAGATTGGCGAATTATTCGCGTGATGAAAGCAAAACCTGTTTTGTGTTGCCAAGATGGAAAAAATTTTGCTAAGTGAATTAGGATACATTAATTTGCTGTTAGAACAAAATAGTGTTTTCCCGTATTTATTAATTTGTTCTCACAGCCAAAATAATTAGTAGATTCAGCAAAATAATCGAGCGATTAATACACTGATAGAAAATGATAATTGGTTCCGGCGCCTATCTGATAGTAGTAGCGTCTAAGGTTATTATCACTCACACTATATTAATACTTATGAGAAAACTAGTTCTCTTGACTATTTTTGTGATTAAAGGATATGTTCGGCGCCGAAACTATAATTTCGTATCAGTGTGTTCTTATCAAGTCGTTTTATTGTCCACATAGTAACCGACAGATTTGGTTGCATAAAATTGGTCGAATTATTTTTCTCCGCGCAGGACTGATGTATCAGGGACTTGGGAATTTTCCGGACGCCTGGGTTGCTACCCAGGCGATCTTTCGCAATAATGTCGGTGGTATAGCCAACCTGATCGGTCGGACGCGGAGCGGTCGACGTCCAGGCTGCAGCTGCCGATACTCTCCTGACTGGTCATGTTAGGGTGATGATGCCTGGCGGCGATCTTGTGATCCGGGTCGAGGCGGTGATAGTTGAGAGGCTGGACGGCTAGGGAGAGCGGTCTGTTACGTCGATGAGAGCGGATGCCGGGTACCGACGACGTCACCGTCGCGGTGCTGGGGTCGTCGACGTCGTCCAAGCCCGCCACCTCACCGCACGGCTGCCCGCTTCCTCGCCGGTCCTCGCGGTCCTCGTGCACACTGCGCAAGCAGCGCGCGTTCTCATCCCCGTTCGAGCTCGGCTCGCGAATTTCTACCGCGCCTCTCTTCCTCGCGGAAAACCGCGACGAGGAGTATCTAACCGCCAGTTGCGGATACTGAGGAATGCTCTGCATAACGGGGATTCTCAAGCCGCCCCCCCCCCTCCCACGCAGGTGGGAAAAACGTTACGTCGTAATTTACGCTGTGAATTTCTCGCTGAGATTTCAATTTTAATTTTAAGGAGGTTGCAAGGCTCAGTATCGTATATTCAGTGGCGCATCAAAGGAGCGTACTACTCGCATAAGTTTACTATTTATGAAATTCCTATACTTTTACTTCACTATTTAAATGATAAATGTTAATAAAGGCTTGAAACCAAATTTAGGTAAATATATATGCACAATATTACAAATACGAAAAGATTTTTTTCCACACGGAGAAAAAGATTTCTTCGGGTTGAAATTTCTTTAATTGAAACAAACTTGTCTCTTGGAACGGAGCAAATAAACGGATGTTTGATTCAACAAATAGGATCGTGTGGTTTTTCAAATAATAAATATCTTTACGTCAAATAACATATTTCATTCAATTTTATTTCAGCTCTCGGATGGCCAATTTTTTTTGTAATTGCGCGAGCAGTTCGATAATATTTCAATGCAAGTGATGCAAGTTTCATCGAATTCTCATCAACTCATAACCCGCCTTACAACCACCCCCCCCCCCTTAACTGAAATTTGAATTAATTTCCCACTGAAGTTTGGCATGCCCAGCAAATTGGTTTGCTTTTTCTTTCTTTCAGACATTCTGCGCGCCTCGAAGCGGGAAGGAAGCGACGCGGAATTAGTGTCCACCAGCGACAAGATTCTTTCTGGCCCGTGACACACATACAATGTAACGGCGATCGATAAGGATATCTTCTTGCTTTCTGCCGTATCTAACGTATCACCGGAGGAGAATAACGTGAACAACGGGAACTGGTGCCACTCGGGGGAGTCCGGCCGACCAACCTCCGATTTCTCGTCGGAGCGGCTGGACATCGCTGAGAAAGATCTGGCAACGTGTACAATAACGCGACATGGCTGTCTCGAGGCAGAAGACGGCAGAAATAGATTTTACAACAGCATTGTGAGGGAGTGGGTGCTGAAATTGATCGCGAAGTGGCACCGAACTCCCTGCGTACCGACGAGAGCAATGGAAGGTGCAGCCGACAAGCATAAACCTCGCATACAATCAGAATCAGTGCAAGCGGGTGCATCGCGGAATCTGTGCGATCAGACTGCATGCAGTGGAGTTTCTTTTTCGCTCTGACATCGGCGGTTTAAAATTCACGACAGGCGGTCTTCAGCACGAAATTTTAGTTCTACATTAAGTCTTCTCAAAAATCTTCTATTGTGATCTTCCCGTTTTTCTTCACTCGAAGACTTAATTAATTGAACCAAGTAGACGTAATGTAAGACCAAAATTTCGACTCGGAAGGAGACGCATATCGGCTGGCGTCCGCTGACAATTGTCGCAAAATTGTTTACAAAAAATCAAATATGTTATCACGAGAAAATTGTCGACCTAAGGTCGTAAAGAGATCCAATGCACGGAACTAAACGAAATAATAAAGAGGACTTGTATACAAATATCGTGCATAAAATGATTTAATGTCGATATTGATTGTTACAATAATATGTCCACCTATGAATAAATTATTGTATATTAAAATTATATATGTATAATTCATGTATGTGTGTATCAGCGAAATATAATTTATAGTGGGCGACACTTTCACGAGAATTACACATTGAGACGATCTTTGAGCCGGAACAGATTCCAAGTTGCACTCGCGCGTGTAAAATGATATATACGGCACTCGTAACAGATCGAAGAAACAAATCGCGCAGGTAGGTAGGTAGATAGGTAGGTAGGTAGGTAGGTAGGTAGGTAGGTAGAGTTGTACAATGTCGTTTACGATGCAGAAATCGGCGCTGACATAATTGCAAGTTAACGGTTAAGGTGCATACAGGGTGTGCAGGTGTGCGACCAAACAGCATTAAAGTGTGCAAGGTGGACTAATCATGCTCGTTCGCGAGTGCTGATGATAAGCGCGTGTGTGCGCGCATATGTGTGATTTTCGTGAACCTGACCTTTAAAAAATCCACTTTTCAATACGAGATACTCGAATCGAAATTTTACTTCTACATAAAGTCTTTATTTGGCTCTGCATTAAGTCTTCAATAAGTCTTCTATTATGCTGCTTTGATGCTACAATTATGGGGAATTATTTCCATTTTCTGCATTTAAAGACTTAATATAGAATTTAAAATCCCCCCGGAAGGTTTAAATTCCCTTTGTAACATCAAAAAAGCTCTATTAGTACTCCTTCGATGCTACAATTGGGAAATTACTTCCGTTTTCTTCACTTGAAGACTTAATGTACAACTAATAGACTTAATGCGGAACTCAAATTTCGACTCGGTATCTTGTTCACGTAAACGTGTTTGCAGCAATAAACCTTTCGGTGGTTCCAATCATTGAAAACACAACGTATGAAAAAATGGTTCGACTTTAGGATTGAAAAAATTTGCTTCAGACATCTCAGAACGGTGGCGCGCGCGTGCGCGAAGAAACTAGCTCGTTCCGGCGGGAGAAAAAATTTCACACGATTTCTCGTTTCCGACGTTGTGACTTGCTAATAACTGCAATCAGGAATCTTAATTACACATTTATCGCGTGGCATTGTGCCGTTAATGTCTCGATGGGACCTATTCGCGTCTTAATCGTGAAACGTATAAACAAGCGTTCGTGCCACGTATTAATAGGATGTTAATTTTTCATCACCTGGAAACTTCACACATATGCAAATGCCTTTCTTTCTCTTCTTTCTCTGCCTACCTGCGCCGCCAATGTTTCCAGAGGAGGAACTTTGAGATATTCTTTTTCACCACCGGATTCACCGTGTAAGTGCCGCTTTCAATTTTCAAAGGCATCTTCACTCGCGCGTCTTACCTCGAATTGCAATCGCGACCGATTCGCGATGTATCGATCGGAGGATGATGATCCGCGACTGTCATAGGGGATGATATTGCACGCGCATCGGTTCCGCTCGCGTTATCGAAACATGATACCGAGCGTGGTCATTTGCTCATCTTTACATACATATAATACAATTCCGTTGGTGTAACTGAATTTTCCGTTGCACGGAGACCAGACGAAAATCCGACTGTAGGAACCGGAAAATTCCTGTAGGAGGTTTCTACTCAGTCAATCGTTGCTTCAGTTGCCTCGCTTTAAGGTAGTTGTAGCTCTGAGTGGCCCATCAAGGTGGCCACTCTAGTATTTATTAAATAAAATTACGTTCCTATACATTTATTTCATTATGATACATTCTAAACGATAAATGTTAATTTGAAACGAAGTTGAGGTAGACATATGTACACAATATTACAAAAATACTATTTTTTTTATTTTTCTTATTAATGCTATTATTAATTGATCTAATAGAGATGTACAGATAATAGAAAGGAGTATTATAAGTGTTTAAGTTAAATATAGAAAGAGGTGTACAGTGTTTAAGTGTATATGTATTTAGAGTATTACTATAAGTTATGAATTTTATACCGCATCTTCAAAATAAAATGACCAACAATTCTAAAATTTTCCTACTTATAATAATTTATAATTGCTATATCAGTCCTTAATATCATAGTAGTTTCTCATTAAATGTTTAGAAGAAATTAAAAATAAAAACAAGGAACACATATAAAAAGTGTCAAATTTCAGTTTCAAAAATAAAACAAAGTTGCATAAATACATCAGCTTGATATCACATCTTGACTTCTATATAATTTTTTGTTCTACTTAGGTTGTGAATATCTAAGCTTTTCGGATGGTTCGTTTTCTAATTGCGCCAATAATTAGGTCACACTTAAATCTATANAAAAAAAAAAATAACTCATTTCATGCTACTACTACCTTAATGTAGCTGAATGTTCGAACAAACGTTCTCAGTCACGGTAACAGAGATATCACTTTTCATCGTCGAATTTTCATTTCTCATCATCGACTTTTCATCTGATCTCTATTCTGCTGCAGAAACGATCTTCTTTTTTTACAACTTTCTCTCTCTCTCTCTCTCTCTCTCTTCTTTGGATTTACAGCGAAGCGCCATGCGCAAACTGGAAATGACAATATCTCCTTCTCCCTCACCCTTCTCTTTCCTTCCGATAGAATTACGTTACCGACACTTCCTTTTTACAACTGTTGCGAGCTATGTGCTCGCAGCCAAGTCGATCGGAAAGAGTGTATCTCCTCCGGTCTCGCCGATTTACTTATTCTCGTCGCGCGACAGAGGAATCTTTTTTTCCTTTTGCCGTGCCCTTTGTCGCGGCCGCGGTGCTCGCGAGAGCACGTTTCTCGGATGAATAGTCACGGAGGACTGGCGCGTTCTCTCTCTTTCTCCGCGGCGCATCCTCCTTCTCGCTCTCCTCTCTTTTCTCCTGCTCATCGAATCGCCTTTACCGCGCCCGTTCTTCTTCTCTCTCCCCCGAGTCGAGGGTATTTTTGGAACACTCAAAAAACCACGATGGCACACTGGTGCCGCTTCTCTCGCTCTTTACGCGTGAACGAAGGGCGGCACGGATTTGTTGAAGGGGATGTACACGTGCCCGGCACGCGCCTCGAGTTCGGCTGAATCTATCTGACGATGATCAACCAAACGAGTTTTCATTGAAGGAAACCAAATTTCCATTTCTCGCGAACGACATTAAGCATTCCGGTTTAGTAAACATTTTTCGATTTTCTAGTTTTCACATGGCATACTGCCTCTAGGCAAATACCTCTAGGAAAGTTGTATTAGAAGGTGATGCGGATCTTCAGTCTTCCGAAACGACCGGAAATCGAAGAGGAAGAACTTGTACAGTTTCGATTTTACGTACGGACGAGCGGATAAGTGGTGTGTAAGCCACCGTTCTGTCATCGTAGTCTTTTACGGACCGTTAATCCGTAAGCACTTT